AAAAAAAAAAAAACAAGGGCTGGGGATGTGGCTAAGTAATTAAGTGCCCTGGATTCAATCCCTAGTAACCCCCGACACTCCCCAAAAAGAGGTGAACAGCACTAAAAGCTAAATAAAAATAACTTACTGAGGGGTGGTATTGACCAAATTACATTGTTATATGCATGTATGAATATGTAACAAAAATCTTCCTATTATGTATAATTACAATGCACCAATATGGGAAATAAAAAAACTAAAAAATAACAGAGTTTAATATTATAAAGGAGATTTTGTAGGTAACTTCTATTTCCACATATTTTGAGGGAATTTGTCCTATATCAAATGGATTTTCTATTCTTAAATAAGAGAGTGTATTGATTATTGTGCATAGCAACTTCAGATTTTAAAATTGCTTCAGGTTGGTATATTTGTTACTAGAGAGTTTGCTTTTATTTTTAATTTTTGTAGTGCTGGAAGTTAAAGCCAGGGCCTAACAGTTGCAAGGAGAGCACTTTATCACTGAATTCCTACATCCTCAGTCTCTCATTGAGGTAGTTGTTTGTTTTGCAGCACTGAGGATTGAACCCAGGGGCATTCACTCACTAAGCTACCTTTCTAGCCCTTTTTCTTTTTTACTTTGAGGCAGGGTCTTATTAAATTCCCTGGACTGGCCTTCAACTTGCAATCTTTCTGCCTCAGCCTTCAAAGTAGCTAGGATAGTTTTAAAACAATCTAAAATGAAAATAATATTTAAGGAGAAATTTCTTGTTGATTCAAGCTCAACTATTAGTTTATCCCTACTAGTTAAGATCCACAGAAAACCTTTTGCTATGAATGTGAACAGAAAGCTGCAGACTTCACATTGCCTTTTAAACATAGTTTCCCACCTTGTCCATCAGACTTCAGGTAAAAATTCTTCAGTCAGTTCATAGGTACATTCCTCCCACCCTAGAACTTGTTCTGCTCATCATGTCAGAAACTATTAGATTTCCAGTGGAATCTAATTACATCGGATTGAAAACTAACAGAATGGGTGATTAGAAAAAGTGGGTGGTGATCAGCTATGGCAGGGGGATTTGGCCATTTTTATCCCATTTTGGGGTTGAACTCTAACTAGTCTCCTAAACCATCTAGAAACTTCCCTGTTTGAGGTTAGAAGCTTCAGTATGAGAAAATGCACAGCTTTCCCCCAAAGAGGACACTACTTCTGTTCTTTTTTCCTCCTCTCATGCCCACCAACTGCAATACTGCTGACAACTGGTTTTACTAGGTTAGTGCTAATACCACTAATCAATCATTCATATTTACATGTATTTTTTTTAAATACACAAATGCTAACCCTGATTTTCATTTGCTCGCTCCTCTAAAGCAGAATGTTATACCTACTTTCATAAAACAGGAAATGAATTTGACAGAGCTCACAGAGGTAACGTGACACCCAACTAGGACCAGAGTTCAGGTCAATCTTGTAGACTCACCATTATATTACAAGTCGTTTATAATGTGGGCAAAACAAAGAAGCTTGGGGAGAACACAGCATTTGATATTCGAAGTGAGGGCACAGCTTGGGAGACCTAGGTGGTGCTGAGTCTGGGCATCTGGTAACTGAACTGCCCTCTTTCAAGTTTTTTCAAGTTTTTCCACTGGCTAGATTAACCCTTTACGGCTTAACCGAGCATGCAAGTTACACACACACACTCCTTTGGTTTCAAACAAAAAATGTCAATATTAGTTCGTTTTCATTGCCAAAACTACTTCTGGGTTCACACATTTCAAGCTCTCGGGCTGGGTGGGCGTGGCGGCGCCCATGCATCGTGTGGCGGTAAACTCTGGTCGCCAACTCCTCCAGCCGCCTGTCGTCAGCCTCCTGCCCGCGATCGCCTCCGCCAGCGCAGCCAGATGCGGGTGCTTCTGGGCTGGCGGCTGCGCCAGGGAGCACCGCGCCGGCAGAGGCAGGCGGGGGCGCGAGTGCGCATGCGCGGCAGGCAGGGGGCGTTGCACCCGCTGGCGGGGAGCCCAGCCGAGCTTAGGTGCGCAGGTCTCTCTCTCACTCTCCTGTACAGCTTCTGCTCTTTGCACGCTTTCCCACCCCATGCACCTTTCCTTCGGGCTGGGTAGCCCTTACCCGATGTACTTCCCTCGCAGCGCCAGCGTGTCCTGCTTGCTGTATAGCTCGCACATGGCAGCGGAGTGCTGGGCACCTCGAGGGGTCTCCCCTTTGAGGTCAGTGCGTTTCTTTCAGGAGTCGGAGACTTGTCTCAGCTCTCTGGCCTTTCCTCCCGTGTAACCCTCAAGGGGTCCCCTGGCCCCTGGGCGTCGGAGGTCACTGGTGGCATCAGCTAGCTAGGGTCATCCCCCTTTTAAGTCTTGCTCTGCCTTTGCCCTTGGCCAAGTCCCTCCCTCCTGCTCCCCTCCTCCGCCTGGTGCCAGCTTGGCAAGTCACCGGAGCAGCCACCCCCGCCCCCAGTCTAACTGGCTCCTGTCCCTGCCCTGCTAATGCCCACTGCCCCTCCCCATCTCTGCAATTCTTTTTAACTGGCCTTTTATTTTCCTGTCTCCTTCCTTTGCCTGTGAATTCCCTCCTTCCCACATTCTTTGTGCCTTCTTTTTGGAGTATTCCTTTATCTTTTTTGTTAAAATTCAAAGATAAGGGCTCTCTGGAGATTCCAAGATTGTACAGCTTTCTTCATTCTCACATAACATAACTTACCATTTACTCAGCACAAGTAACAAGTCATATGCCCTAATGCTAAATAAGAGGGCCAGTTACCTCAGTTGGGAAGTTTGTGAACATTGTTTCAAATATCTACTTGAACAATCACTACATATCTAATTTCTAACACATTCACATGGCTTATCTAATACAGTCTTCAAAATAACCTTGAGTGGGGTATGTGATAGTTAGGCCACATAACATTCGGGCAAGTGAGATTATTTCAGCTCCTTGATTTCCTTTAAAATGTTCTTCTCAAGACTTCTCAAAATTGAAATTAAATATGTGGACAGAGCTATATAATGCTGAGTTATAAATTATTTTAAGAACTAGAGTTCATCTGGTTTAACTGCTCTTTCTATGGATAACAACAGTGAGGCCCTGGAAAGGGACAGCTTTATTCAAGGTCATTTTAGCTATAGAGTTAAAACTAGATCATTTCATTTGCTCTGTGTTTCCTAAGGGCAACAAAGAAGTTTAATTGGCCTGCATTGACATATTTGATAAATATTTGCAAATGACCTTTCTCTTGAATAAAGTAGTTATTAATTTACATCAGCTGGAGGAGTTGAATTTTGTTTTCTAAGGTGGAGAAACAGAGTTCTAGCAGGGACCGCTTGAAAAGAATTCTAGGTGTTAAATTTGGGGAGGTTTGTGCACACCTGTAATCCCAACTACCTGGGAGGCTGAGGCCGAAGGATTGTAAGTTCCAGGCCAGCCTGGGCAGTTTAGCTAGACCCTGTCCCAAATTAAAAGTGCTAGAGATGTAGCTCAGTGATTGACCACCCCTAGGTTCAATCCCCAGTACTGGGGTGGGGGTGGGGGGCTAAGGTAGAAAGGCAGAGAGCTGGGGAATGTGGCTCAGTGACAGAGCACTTGCCTAGCATGTGTGAATGTGAGGCCCTGGGTTTAGTTCCCAGTAAAACACACACACACACACACACACACACACACACACACACACACACAACTTAAATGAAAGGCAGAAGGTACTTTGGAGACTTGCAAGAAATCTCAAATGTAATCTTGGTCTATTTCCAAATTTGAAAGATGTTTCCAGCTGTTTGTGTATTTTCAAACCGTCTAAGCTTGGTGAAGTCGTGAGGGTCACACTCCCTCCACAAACCTCCAGGGTTCCTTATGAGTAGTCCTCATGATTTAAACTGTGCTTTAAATAATCCTCAATGGAGAATTTTGGGTTCTAGAGGGGGTTCTTCCATAAACCATGTGGGCTTCTTGACTTCTCTGGGGCCACACTTTTTTGTATTGAAATGATCTCTGTGACTGAAAGCATTACAATTAGGCTTTAAATGAAGTCTTGATTTGGTATTTCTTAGGAAGAGTCTTGAGCCCTTTCCTCTGCACTCTTTCTCAAAGTAATCCAGTGATTACCTTGGATTTAGAATTTGGTACCAATGTCAATACACCAAAATTACATCTCCACCCAGAACTATTTTCTCAGTCCCAGACTCTCATGTTTACTACCTTACTTGTCATCTTCACTTAGATGTCTCACACACACCTCAGTTTTAACCAGTCCAGAATGGAAGCTTCATTCTTCACTCTCAAAACGATTGCTCCAATAAATCCTGTATCACCTGGCATTTATTCACCCATTCAAAATATACCAAATGCTCACTGCATGCCAGTGAATGTTTTATTTTGCTGGAGATACAACAGTGGACCTGACCAAGTAGTCCCAGCTCCCAGTCCCCAGCTCCCAGTCCCCAGCCCTGAGCGCCTCATACTCTAGATCTGTACAGTCCCATATAAGGCTACTAGCCACAGGGGCTTATTGAGGACTTGAAATGGGACTAGTCTGAATTGAGATGAGCTGTTGGTATAAAATTTGCACCAAATTTCAAAGACTTCTTTCAAAAAATACTAAAGATCTCATTAAGTTTTTATATTGATTACTGTTGAAGTAATATTCTTGATATACTGTATTGGATTTCATAAAAATATATCATTAAAATTAATTTCACCTATCTTTTTTAATGTGGTTACCATAATATTGAAATTACATGGATTGGCTTCAATTGCTGTTCTATTGGACAGCATTATGGGGTAGATGGATAAAATAAACAAGTAAACAGTTAATTTAACAAGATGATAACTTGCTTTAATTATGACAAGTACCTTCAAGGAAATAAACAGAAACACAGGAGTCCTGGAGAATTCCTTTCTTTTTCTCAATCCCATCTCTGTGTCAAATTATTTTCAAGCCTCATTCATGCCACTTCAGATTACATCTTAAATCTATTTGCTGCTGCCCTGTGTAAACCATTTCTCTAACTTTTTCCCTCACTTCCACTTCCCACCTTCTGCAGCTTCATCACATCCTTCCTCTTCTTAAAACCTACCAGTGACTGCAGCTATCTTCTCCAGGTTCTGCTTGGATCTTCTGCATATGTCTTTCATTTGTCCTTAGTCACTTCAGCATTTGCCTGGGATTTCAATTTAAATGTCTCAGCTGGCCTTGCAGAGGTCATTCTTGATTACTCTATCACATGCATAGTTTTCAGCTAATTAAAAATAAAACAACTAGTCCTTCCCTTGTTTCTCCATCTTAATCTGTTCTTTGTTTCATTTTTATCTGTCTCTTTATCAGTGTACCCCAGTAGCACAGTGCTTGGGACATGGAAAGTTTTGATAAGTATATGTTGACTGATGGACTGAAATGAAACACATCTCAAGATTTAATACCTGGTTTTAAAGATGAAAGTTCTTATGAGCTTATGTGGCCCTTGAAATGGTTCCATTTACTTATGTGTTGACTCCTAATTTGTATTTTAACCATATGTTGATTCATGATCTTTTTTTTTTTTTTTTTTG